TTAGAGGCCCGCACAACCCAGCATCACGGCACACTGGTTTTTTAGCCGCACTAACCAGGGCTAAGAGGGCCCGCACCACACCAGCACCCGGCACACTGTTAGACCGCCACACAGCGGCTCAGAGGCTCCGCACTCCCAGCACCGGCACATCGGTTAGGCGCACACAGGGCTTAGAAGGGCCCGCTACTCCCCAGCACCGGCACAACTGTTAGCCGCACAACAGGGCTCAGAGGCGCACACACTCCCAGCACCGGCAACACTGTCAGCCGCCAACCACAAGGCTTAGAGGGCCCGCCCACTCCCAGCACCGGCACACTGTCAGCCTGTCACACAGGGCCTCAGAGGCCCGCCACACCCAGCATCGGCCAACACTGTTAGCCGCACACAGGGCTACAGAGGCCCGCACACCCAGCACCGGCACACTGTTAGCCGCACACAGGGCTCAGAGGCCCGCACTCCCAGCACCGGCACACTGTTAGCCGCACACAGGGCTCAGAGGCCCGCACTCCCAGCACCGGCACACTGTTAGCCGCAACGGGCACAATCTCAGAGACCTCAGAGCGCGCAGAGCACTGCCCCCAGGATGGCTCGGAGGCCGGGGCGGTCTCAGAGCACGGCCTTGGATGCCAGGCACCCACCTCCTGAAGGACGGCCGGCTCCAGCACGTTGTCGGCCGTGAGGATCGCGTGCTCGCTTCGAAACTGGCGCGGAAACTCGGACTGCATCCAGTCGTAGGTATGCACGAAATCCGAATCCTGTGGGATCCACAGCTTGAACGGCCGGTTCTCCTGGTGGAAGCTGAGCAGGCCGATGCTGCACGCCGCCGTCACGGCCAGCACCGTGACGATGTAGAGGTACGGGTGCCGGCACACCGTGTACCCGTGCCTGGCGAGGTCAAAGACCGATCGTCATTCGCGGCCAAGCCAAGCCCCTGACCACGTGGCGCCGTAGCAGCGCATCCGTCGTCCATTTGTCTCGTGACGCATTACAAACACACGTCCAGTCGCAGCCACGCCAATGACCGACATTCAGCCCTGGCGGCGTAATACATTCCAGGGCCTCAACAGATTCGGCGAACCAGGAAACAATCAGCTAAGTATGCCAATAGGGTTACGATTCTGCATCAATCTTCGTTCGACGTAATACGCCAGACACACCAGCTTTGAACGCCTGATCAGGTGGGTCAACATATTTCACAACTGATGTCTCTAATCACCGCCTATCGTCTCTCAAAAACCGGGCCGGGCAGATTAGCTCCAACCGTCGCAGGGCGCCTAGCAACGACAACCCCGCTTTCATTTTTACCTATTGCAGCACCTAGCGTCGTCATACCACCGCGTAAATACGGAATGCATGGGATCTTAGCATGATCCCGCTTGCTCACAGGCCGGCAAGGTTAAGAGCTACATTGAAATAATATCAAACTAGCATTTCAGTATCCTGTCAGTGCCATTAACGTCACCGTAGATAAACTGGCATTGCATATGATTTTCTGAGTGACCGGTGATGTTTGATTAGCATCCCAATGGCACTGTAAGCCAGCAAATTTTGCAGCATCTAAATAACTGTTAGCCAGCAACCAGCAAACTGTTTAAACGATGAAATGGGATTGGACTATCCTAATATATTTCTTCTTTGCTGGAACGAGCACAACATTCTGATGAAAAACGCACTTTTACCCCAACAAATGCCGATCAAATATAATATTGTCACTTTTGAGCCCTTCATTCGATCCCACCGATCTGGGCAGTGTTTCATAAAAGTACCACACTACCGCGTTCTTGCCTACCACAGGCCCCGTGATAACCCCGATACTTTGCGTAACTATTACGGTTTAAAAAGGGCTAATCGCAAAAACGGAAAAGGTATGAATTGGGTCCACAAAGGGTGCCACAAACTTCTCAAGTTGCAATACTTCAACTCAGATACGATTCAAAATCTATCTAATACAGAGTAACGTGAGAACTAGGAAAAGGATGTTGCGCAATGGGCCACAAGTCCGACAAAACTTCCCCAAGTTTCTTCTATAAACTTATCCAAAATACCAACTTTTTTGGTGGGCCCAGTCTCTTTCAACAGCATACGGGCATGACTCTCCACAATGACCTATGATCGACAGGTAAGGTCTCTCATGTAACACATAACGCGTTTTTGGCCTATGATCGAAAAGGTAAAGTCTCTTAAACATAACGCGTTTTATGGCAGCAACTTGACGGCGCGCGTACGGGATATTTTTTGTCGTCTCGATTCTGTCTGTGCCACATGGCTTCACACTCTGTCAGATGGTCTTGCCGTTCGGAGTTTGGTTTGCCGAGCGCTGCGTTCGGGGGCGTGCGGGTTGTTGGTAAGCGGTTTACGCATGTTGAGCAGTTTTGGACTACAGAGCTCACTGGCGTAGCGGTGACGATAAGCTTGTTACGAGCGGACCGCCCGCCTGCAACATCCCCTCTCAGTCGTGGGTAACGTGTCACGTGGTGCTGTTGATGGCTGCGAACAAGGTCATTTCCATATCGTATCGCTCACGGATGACAATTTTTCTATTCTTTCCAGCGTGTATCCACGACAAATTTAATATTTTGGGCCCAAAAACATGAAACCACAAATTTCAGACAATGATCCATGCCCTCTCCCACACACAAAAAAAATGGCAGGTATCCAATACAACAGCGACACCCAGGTTCGCCGTAGTCGTCACACGCCGTGCAATAGAGCTCACTGACGCGCCAGCGCGCGGCCGGCGTGTGAGCGAAGGATGTCGGCGCGATCTCTTAGCGCAGCACTTACTGGTAGAAGAGGTACTCGAAGCCTGATATGAAGCGAGACGACAGCCGCATGAGCAGCGTTGGCGACTTCATCGCTGCTGCGTTCCTGCCGTCAGCCATGCACGGTGCACGGGCCTGCTCTGGGCCACGCTCGAGCCACGCTACGGCGAACGTCTCGGGTGCTGACGTCACAACCTCTTAAATGGTGCTGACATCTGTTGGCACGTATACAAGTTTTACTTTGGTCACTGAGAAAGCAAGGGTTTTGTTAACTGTGAGCATATAAATAGTATATACAGGTTTTGTTAACTGTGAGCATATATATAGTATATACAGGTTTTGTTAACTGTGAGCATATATAGTGTATATATCATAACATGTTTTAAAATGTTTGTGACATGATTAAACAGAACATTGAGCAATGTTGATACTTTTTAATGCACTCACTGAGCGTGGTCATAATTTTATTTATTTATCATTTGGCTCAATAGGCTTTTATCTTTGATACTTTTACTACTTTGATACTTTGATACTTTGTTGATACTTTTTAATGCACTCACTGAGCATGGTCATAATTTTATTTATTTATCATTTGGCTCTCTAGGCTTTTATCAAATACTCACATGCAGGCCATGCTCAAATTTGAGACATCAGTCAATTTATGGCAAAGTTTTTGTCTATCACAAAACAAGATTTTACAGACTTCTCCAACATATGATTAAGAGGCTAGCATAATCTTGTAATGTGCAATGCTTATTTAATTGTAAATGTTTTTATCCAGGAGCATAATCTATAGCCTTATTCCTTAAAGAAAACCCAAGAGAATGGAGAAACAGGTGGGTTAATATTTCAGCAGCATACCTCCATCAAAATAATGGCAGAAGGTGCTTTTGTTTTGATAAAGGCATGTTACCTACTGTGATTGTTTCAAAACTCACTTCTGCTATTGTTTGAATAAAGGCATGTTGCCAAAATATCAACCCATCTATATCTCCAGTTTCCTGGTTTTTCTCCAAGGAATAAGGCTATTACTATTGTCTATGTGAATAATGTTTCTCACAAATGCACTAAACAACTTACATAATTTTGTCATGACAGTTATACACAGAGGCACAGATGAGTAATCCATCTTACTCAGAGTCTATAAGAGCTAACTAATTGGTAGGGATAAGGGGGTGCATTTGGTAAGTGGTCTGGCAAATAGTCCTTGCCAACCATCCAGCATCATGGAAACATACATGATGGTAAACTGGCTGTCAACATGTGTTTGCTGTGAAGGGCATTTGTTAAATTGGCAATCTCCTGTTTATTAAGGACTGGCATTTAGCACAAGTCACAAGTATGTTAACATCTAGCCCAAAATATCCCTGAACAGGAACATATGCATGACTGCAGTGGGAGAGGTGGTAGAGCCAAAAACGTTTTGACTGAAAGCACCATCGAAAAGCACTGAAAGCACCATGCACACATTGCAGGTGCTCATTTTTTTGTGCTATATAGCAATACCACACATTTAACATCAGCTTTATGTCAACCTCTATTTGTTAATTTTGAAACCTTTTCATATACACATTCTTATATACACAGATTTGACGGGATGTTCAGATGTGTGCTTCTAAACATCCTGTACATTCTTCCTTTGCATCCTAAACATTCCCTCTTTAATCTAGCCCTGAGTCTGATACTTAAATGCTACAGAACAATACCCAGACAACTGCTGAAGGCTAGTTCTGGCAGGTTTGTTTGGCAATGACCATGATGCTTTTCAAAATACCTTTTATTCCAACATATGTAACAAAGTGAAATCCACTAGATACAAAGCACCTATAATACCCTCTCAAAGCATTCACATCCACCCAGTTACTAGATAACATAGATGGTCTGTTCCTCTTCCACTCACTTCCCCAAACAAGATGAGATTAGCTTGGAGATAGTTGGAGCAATGCTGAACCTGCATCAAATCTGAACACAGAGTTAACTGAAACATATATCTATAAAGGAATAAATATGCATGACAATAATGCCTTTGCATATATGCTTAATACCATCAACTACTAATGCTAGAAATATAAAACTACAATCACTTACATAATTACAAATTCAATCTAACTGTACCAATTTATATAACGGTCCTTCACTTCTGCTACATGACAACAAACAAATGACATGAATGATCCGCACCACTAGCATCTATCACATCCTCTTCCCAACTCTTCAGAAAAACCACCTATCAGTTCAGAGGAGGTTTGGGCAAGTTTTGAGGAGCTTGGGAAGGCTGGAGGAGCCTTGGGAATGATCGGACTAGTTTGAATAAGCTTCGAGCTCAGAAACGTTTAGAGGAGCCACAGAAACAGACCCATATACAACCATATACCACACTTAGAGCAAACACAACCCCGAACAGCTTCGAAAGGTAAAATAGGACGACCTTGCATGGCCACACTGATTGGGGGATCGCGCAAGCAAGCACACAGCGAGTCGACGCAGCAATGGCAATGAGCCGTGGTTTCCGAAAAGAGCTTGACCGCAACGCTGCCTTACTCCAAGGGAAAATTACCCAAAAATTACCCCCAAAATCAGACGCCACAGACACAGCAAAACCCGCGGCCAAGGCCACGGCGAGATCCATCTGTTCCAATCACTGAGCACGTACTAGAAGTGATGAGCTTTGAAGCCATTGACACAGTTTTTTATTTCACTTGGTTACAAAGCCTCCATGGTCCGAATCACACACTCCACAAAACGTAATACACCCGTCAATCACCGCCCGACCCAACACCCACCTTTCGATCCCTCTACCAGAAATCCCTGAGATTTTTGTTCACCAAGGCCGCGAAACCCCACCAAAGCTAGTTGGCAGCACTACATCACGTCCAATCATCTAATAGATAAAAAGTGGTGGAGAAAATCCGGTGCAAATTCACGAAATGAGAGAAGTTTTCTCACTGGGCTGCGGCGTCCGCGAAATACCAAACGTAAGCAAGGTGCGCCGCTGTGGGCGCGCGACGGGGTGATGCCAAGGCTCTATAAAAAGGGCGCAACAACGCAGTGTCAACGTGGTTGTAAGAGGCATTGAGGTTCACTCGAAGATCATAATGCAACAAAGCTGAGCGAGGTGAACGAATTGTACGTGAGGGGCGGATCCAGGATTTTGTCAAGGGGTGCCACGCAACATTGTGGGGCCTCCTAAAAAATTGTTCTTAGTTCATTACATTTTAAGACAAATCGTATGCAATATATATATATATATATATATATATATATATATATATATATATATATATATATATATATATTGTTTGTGGTGCAGTTGTATTTTGTGTCCTGTGCCCCTGCTGGGGCGGGGGTGCGGTGGGGGGGGGGGGGGGGGGGGGCGCCGCCGCCGCGGTGGCGGGTGTCGGGCTCGCGGGCAGGCCCGGCTCGCGGCCCCCGCGGTCGGCAGTCGCCGTGGGGAGCTGCTGTGGAGCGTGAGGAGCTGCTAAAATACAAGGAAGTTTTGGTGACATACTGGGCGTCTCATTACAAACTATTTCGGCAAACTGGCGACCGGATTTGATGTGAGACTGATACCAGAGTTCAGCGGTACGAGTGATGCAGATGTGGTGGACTGGCTTGAGAAAGTGGAGCTGATTTGTGGACTGCAAACGCCTCCAGCGTGCGAGGCGTCAGTGATTGCCCTGCGGCTGACGGGCGGCGCCTCAGCCGTGTATAGGCAGCTGCCAACTGAGGACCGGCAGGACGCGAAGAAGGTCAAGGACGCCCTGAGGACGGCTGTCGGCGTCGACAAGTTCGTGGCCTACGAGCTGTTCACCACGCGCAGGCTAAGGGCAGGTGAGACGGTCGACGTCTACCTGGCCGACCTGCAGCAGTTGGCGTAGGTGTTGCCTTTGTTGCTGGGCTGCCCGACGCTACCAGGCGCACGCTGCGCGCCGGTGCTCGCCTCGAAGGCCTGTCGTCGCCGAACCTGGTGGAGAGGGCGCGGGCCGTCCTCAGGGAGGACGGCGGTCGCGGCAGCGGCAGTTCAGCGAGGGCGGCCGACAACAAGTTTCACCGGTTTCACCTGTGGACAGGTCAGCCACTTCTACCCACCGCGCGGCTGACAGTGGGCGGCACCCGGCGTCAGGCGCTGGTGGGCACCGGCTGCTCCGTGTACAGATACACATGCGAGGGTACCGGACAAGTGACTGTGAGTACAGTGTCGGGTGCGGCCCGAATACAGGTGCTTGTAACTGTCAGTAGACCGCTGAAATTCGGGTTCATTCTGGGAATGAACGGCGTGAGGGCGCTTCGGGGCGTGTCCGTCAGTGCGTCGAATGCAGTGCAGTTCGGGGTCGATGCACTGCCGGCTGGGTCGGCGTCTCCGGAGAGGCAGCGGCGTGTGATGCGAGCGGAGCCGCCGCCGTGTCACCCGAGCCGGCCGGCCGTTGCCGGGGGCAGAGAGCGGCGAGCGACGTGGGCGCGGCGGGCGCCGTGTCACCCGAGCCGGCCGGCCGTTGACGGGGGCAGAGAGCGGCGAGTGACGTGGGCGCGGCGGGCGCCGTGTCACCCGAGCCGGCCGGCCGTTGCCGGGGGCAGAGAGCGGCGAGCGACGTGGGCGCGGCGGGCGCCGTGTCACTCGAGCCAGCTAGCTGGGACGGAGGGCAGAGGTCAGCGCTGCGTGTCTCTGACTCGAATGACACTGGTATGCCGAGGCCAGACAGCGACGGCGATGTCAGATCGCCGTCACCGCCACCATCACTGCACGGAGCAGCCACTCCACATCAGTCGTCTCGTCTGTCAGTAGATGCACCGGACTACGGGGTCCACTTCGACCCGCAGACAAGAACATGGAGTATGCAGTGGAAATGGAGTAACTCTGTAGGACCTGAATGTTTGACAAACCAAGTGCCGCAGTATGACGTGCCAGAGAACGTCCGCCGTGAGTTCAACGAAGAGCTGTCGCGATGGATCGATAATGGATGGCTGGTGCCATATGATGAGGAACAACATGAACCTGTGCAAGGATTGGTACCGTTAATGGCGGTCCAACAGAAAAACAAAAACAAAGTGAGGACCTGTGTTGGACTATCGCGAGTTGAATAATCATGTAACCGCGCACACAGCAGAGACAGACGTGTGTGTCGATCAGCTAAGGAGGTGGCGTCGGTACGGAGAGAACGTCGCGGTTGTGGATCTGCACAATGCATACCTGCAGGTGCATGTCAACCAGCATCTGTGGGCCTTCCAAACTGTGCAGATTCACGGCCATCGATACTGTCTGACACGGCTTGGCTTTGGGCTGAACGTGGTCCCTCTGGTGATGATGGCAGTGGTCCGGACAGTTCTTGAACAAAACCCAGACGTGGAGCGGGCCGCTCTGGCCTACGTGGACGACATCCGGTGAACGAAGACATAATGAGCGCCGATGACGTCGTGGCCCACCTGGCAAATTACGGGCTGCAGAGTAAGCCGCCTGAGCGAGCAGCGGCTGGGGCTCGCCTGCTGGGCCTGCATGTCTCACGGGAGCAGGGGAGAATGCCGTGGAGGCGCGACGACCCGGTCGGCCCGCCGCCGAGCAGTACTGACGCGCCGTGCAGTATTCTCCGGGTGCGGCCGCTGGGTGGCACACCTGCCGGTCTGCGGCTGGCTCCGCCCCGCTAGAGCGCGGCTGAAGCGTCGTGCGAACGCCGTCACGCGTGACTGGGACGACAGAACAGCTGATGAGACGCTGCGAGAACGACTTAGCCGTGTCGCGACCCGGCTGACCCAGGATGACCCGGCATGCAGCACCTGGAGCGTGCGAGGTGACCGTGCCGTGGTTTGGACAGATGCCAGCTCATTGGCAGCAGGAGTTGCGCTGACCGCGCTCGAGGGCGTTGTCACTGAGGACGGGTGCTGGCTGCGGAAGGACGACTGCACGCACATCAACATGGCAGAACTAGACGCGGCAGTGCGAGGAATTTATCTGGCCATTGCGTGGCACATGCATGTCGTCGATCTCCGAACAGACTCGGCCATTGTGCACCGCTGGAAGATGACGCCCTGAGTGGCCGAGCCCGTCTGCGCACCAAAGCTCATGGAGAGATGCTGATTCGGCGCCGGGTCGGTGTCATTCAGCAGCTTGTAAGTGAGCTGGGCACAACTCTATCTGTCTCGCTGCTGCGTAGTGCCGAAAATCGTGCCGACGTGCTGAGCCGTGTGCCGAGAGACTGGTTGCGTGACGATTCGACCTTTGAGCGTGCGACACCGGTCGGAGGCTGTGCGGTCGTAGCAGATCGAGTGACGACCGATGGTCACGGAGTCGGCATAGGACCCACGGGCGGTTCCACCGAGTAGGCGACAGACGGCCGCGCCGACCTTGAGATGGCGATCTCTGACATCAACGCCCGTGCCGGTCATCCAGGGATCCGACGGACGCAGTTTCATGCTCGGCACGACGTTTCGTCGACAGTGACGCGGTCACAGGTGAGGGGTGTGGTGAATCGCTCAGACACCTGTCGCTCTATCGACCCAGCGCTGGTGACTTGGTCACCCAGATAGCTGGACGTGCAGGATGTGTGGTCACGGCTGGCGATCGACGTGACTCACTTTCGGGGGCAGTGCTACCTTTCAGTAGTGGACTGTGGACCGTCTCGGTTCAGTTTATGGCGGCTGCTTCGCCGTCCAGATGTCCTGTGCTCTTGAGCTGCTGGAACAGACTTTCCTGGAGAGAGGTGCCCCTGTGGAATTGTTTTGCGACAATGATACCGTCTTTCGCAGCAGTCAGTTTCAGGCATTCGCGGCACGGTGAAGTATTCGCCTGCGGTTCCGAGTCGTGCATGAGTCCAATGGCATTGGCAATGGCAACAGCAGGCGGCAATGGCATTGTTGAGCGGAATCATCGCACTGTCAAGGTCATTGCCGCCAGGAAGCAGTGCTTTGTCGTCGAGGCGATGCACCTGTCGAATGTGACGCCGCGTGACGGTGAGCTGCAGGTAGTGCGCCGGCGGCCGCTGTCTATGTGTACCCTGTGCGGGATTGTGTGCGGCCCGCTGCTGATCAGCCGGTGATAGTCGAGCCGCGAGAACCACGTGACACCGATCGGTATGCTGTTCGAGATGTCGTCTGGGTTCGTCGTCGGGGGACGCGGTGTACGGACACGTCACAGCCAGGAGTGGTGTCAGGCATTATTTCAGACCAAGTGATGGAAATGGACGGCGTACCGTGGCATGTACGAAGTTTGCGTCGTAGGGGCGATAGTGCTGCCGAGACAGACAAGGCCGGTGACGGAGGCGCGGATGACAATGCTAGTTTGTTCGTGAGGGTGCCTGAGCCGGAGAGGTTGCTGATACTGATCACTGTTGGGATGCTACTGATGCTCATGATAGTGCCGGTGTGGATGCTGATGATGGTGCCGGTGTGACAGGCGACGGTGACGAGCGAGTGTTGCCGCGTCGGAGCGGACGAGAGCGAAGGCCCGTGCGATTTTATACTTGTTGATCATTAGGATCAGGGTGGGGTGTTTGTGGTGCAGTTGTGCTTTGTGTCCTGCGCCCCTGCTGGGGCTGGGGTGCGGCGGGGGCGCGCCGCCGCCGCGGTGGCGGGTGTCGGGCTCGCGGGCCGGCCCCGGTTCGCGGCCCCTGTGGTGGGCAGTCGCCGTGAGGAGCTGCTGTGGAGCGTGAGGAGCTGCTAAAATACAAACAAGCTTCGGTGACATACTTGGCGTCTCATTACTTATATATATATATATATATATATATATATATATATAT